GATGGGCCCCAAGCGGCGGCAGCTGACGTTCCGGGAGAAGTCGCGGATCATCCAGGAGGTGGAGGAGAACCCGGACCTGCGCAAGGGCGAGATCGCGCGGCGCTTCAACATCCCGCCGTCCACGCTGAGCACCATCCTGAAGAACAAGCGCGCCATCCTGGCGTCGGAGCGCAAGTACGGTGTGGCCTCCACCTGCCGCAAAACCAACAAGCTGTCCCCCTACGACAAGCTCGAGGGGCTGCTCATCGCCTGGTTCCAGCAGATCCGCGCCGCTGGCCTGCCCGTCAAGGGCATCATCCTCAAGGAGAAGGCGCTGCGTATAGCCGAGGAGCTGGGCATGGACGACTTCACCGCCTCCAACGGCTGGCTGGACCGCTTCCGCCGGCGCCACGGTGTGGTGTCCTGCAGCAGCGTGGCCCGCGCCCGGTCGCGCAGCGCTGCCCCCCGGGCCCCAGCGGCTCCAGCCAGCCCGCCCGCGGTGCCCTCGGAGGGCAGCGGCGGGAGTACGACCGGCTGGCGTGCTCGGGAGGAGCAGCCGCCGTCGGTGGCCGAGGGCTACGCCTCCCAGGACGTGTTCAGCGCCACCGAGACCAGTCTGTGGTACGACTTCCTGCCCGACCAGGCCGCAGGGATGTGCGGAGGTGATGGACGGGCGCGCAGAGCCACCCAGCGCCTGAGCGTCCTGCTGTGCGCCAACGCCGACGGCAGCGAGAAGCTGCCCCCGCTTGTGGCCGGCAAGTCGGCCAAGCCCCGTGCAGGCCAAGCCGGCCTGCCCTGCGACTACACCGCCAATTCTAAGGGTGGTGTTACCACTCAGGCCCTGGCCAAGTACCTGAAGGCCCTGGACACCCGCATGGCTGCAGAATCTCGCCGGGTCCTGCTCTTGGCCGGCCGCCTGTCTGCCCAATCCCTGGACACCTCGGGCCTGCGGCATGTGCAGCTGGCCTTCTTCCCATCTGGTGCCGTGCAGCCGCTGGAGCGGGGAGTGGTCCAACAGGTGAAGGGGCACTACCGCCAGGCTATGCTGCTCAAGGCCATGGCTGCGCTGGAGGGCCAGGATCGCTCAGGCCTGCAGCTGAGCCTCATGGAGGCTCTGCACTTCGTGGCTGCAGCCTGGCAGGCAGTGGAGCCTTCGGACATAGCTGCCTGCTTTCGTGAGGCTGGCTTCGGGGGTGGCCCTAATGCCACTATCACCACTGCCCTCAAGAGTGAGGGGGAGGAAGAGGAGGAGGAGGAGGAAGAAGAAGAGGAAGAAGAAGAGGAGGGTGAAGGGGAGGAGGAGGAGGAGGAAGAGGAAGAAGGCGAGGAGGAGGAAGGCGGAGAAGGAGAGGAGCTGGGGGAGGAAGAGGAGGTGGAAGAGGAGGGCGATGTTGATGACAGTGATGAAGAAGAGGAGGAGGAGGAGGAGAGCTCCTCTGAGGGCTTGGAGGCAGAGGACTGGGCCCAGGGAGTAGTGGAGGCCGGTGGCAGCTTCGCGGGCTATGGTGCCCAGGAGGAGGCCCAGTGCCCCACCCTCCATTTCCTAGAAGGTGAGGAGGACTCTGAGTCGGACAGTGAGGAAGAAGACGAAGATGAGGATGATGAGGAGGATGAAGATGAAGATGACGAAGATGAGGAGGAAGATGGTGATGAGGTGCCTGTACCCAGCTTCGGGGAGGCCATGGCTTACTTTGCTATGGTCAAGAGGTACCTGACCTCCTTCCCCATTGACGACCGTGTGCAGAGCCACATTCTCCACTTGGAACATGATCTGGTCCATGTGACCAGGAAGAACCATGCCAGGCAGGCCGGAGTTCGGGGTCTTGGACATCAAAGCTGAGCGACTGGGCCTAGCCATGCCCCCAACTTGGATGTGGCAGCACCAGCCCAGGGCAGAGGACTCTCCGGCAGCCACTGTGGATTGAACCAGAGTGGGGAGCCCCAGATCCTTTAGTGATGTTCTCCTGGCCCTGTGACAGTCCCAGTCACCTCGGTAGGGTCCGGGGCTGGGGTCAGCCTCACTGCCTGCTTATTGCCTCTTTCTCAGAATCCTCTTTCCTCCCCATATGCCCCTTGGCTTGGGGGACCAGGTGGGGAGGAGGGGGGAGCTGTCCGGTGCTACCACACCGTGCCATCAGTGGACTAGGCCACAGCAGCAGCCAGGGATGGGCCCTGGAAGCTCCCGGCCGGAGAGTGCCTCTCCCCTCTGCCGTCCACACTAGGTCTTTGGTGGAGGGGACCCCAAAGCCATTCTGGGAAGGGCTCCAGAGGAAGGTCCAGCCTAGGCCCCCACAAGGCTGGCAGCCCCCCCATCCTGCCCCCTGGGCCGTCTCAAGAAGCACAGTCTAACTCACTGCAGGCTCCTGAGCCTGCCTCTGCCTGCTTCCCCTCTTCCCCAGTCCATGTTACTTTGGCCCTTGGTTTTCTTTCCAGATTGGAGGTTCCCAAGGCACCCTCCAGAGGAGTGATAATGGGCGCTTCCCTTGTGGGCAGCTGCAGGCCCCATTCCTCTTCTCCGTCTCTGACAGGGCCCTATCCTGGGTAGGGGGTCTGGGGCTGGGCCCAGAGTCCAGCCAACCAGCAGCTCCTTTCCCAGCCTGAATTCAATAAATCTGTCCACCCCCCTTTTGTGGGGGTGAACGTTTTAACAGCCAAGGGTGCATCCTTCATGGTCTGGGCTTGCGTCTGTCTTGGGGACATGTCCTTCCCTGGTTCCCTTTGGGCCTTCCTCTGGCGGGACATGGAAGCAAATGTTGAGAGGGTGGCCACAGCCCTGGCCGTGACGTGGGTAGGGGCAACATCCATATCTAAATGTTATCTAAGCTTGGGAAGGAAGGAGTCTTCACTACACCTGCCTGGGGGTGGGTTTGAGGAAGCTGGGCCTTGCACTGCTTTGGGGTTAGAGAGAAACTCGGTGTCATTTGGCTGGGGCAGGAGAGAGAACCAGCAGTCCCTGCTGGGCCAAATTAAACTATAGGTACCTGGGATCTAGGCCTAGCAAGGCCCATTAAAGAAGGGCCTTGCAGGAGTGGGGCCAGAAGGCAGAAAGAGAGGTGTGTTGGGACAGCTCCTGTGGTCCAGGTTGGAGTTTGGAGGGGCATATAGGGCGTCCCTTGGTTTACCTTTGGTGCCTGAAAAGGGAGCCCTTTAGGCCTTTCAGTGATTGGCATCTCCAAGCCTGGCGGCTGTCCTTGGGAACAGTGGCAGGAGCAAGGTGAAATTGCTGACTCATGAAATTGCTGGGGACACACTGCACCCCCAAGAGGCTGAGGATGAGTTGGCAACTCCCTGTGCAGTGCCCTCCAGTCCAAAGGTGAGGACTTTGCAGATTGGCGCCCCCTGTACTCCCCGCCCCCCTTTTCTTCACTGAGGCCCTCAGGCCCCAGTGGTTCCAGGTAGAGGCAGGCTTGAGCTTGAGCAGGGCAGGCAGCTCTGCGCCCTAAACCGGTTTTCCCACCTCTGCTGGGGCTGGCACATCACCCTGTGGTTCCTCCCTGCCACCACCTTGCAGTTCCTCCTCTCTCCACCCTGGAATGTTAAGGGGGGTGGGTATCCAGGTCATCTTTTGTCCCTTGCCTGCCCTGGGTGTGGTCCCTTCTAGAAAGGCAAGGCCACTGTAGGACTTAAACAAGAAGGTGGGGTGACTTCCACACTTGGCCTTCCACACTCCTGGCACTCAGGGATCCCCTCCAGGATGTGAAGGCTTCAAAACTAAGTGACAGCAAAAAGCAGTTGAGAGTTCCCTCTTCCCCCCACCTCATCTGAGCCCTAGAGGAGGAGACCAGAGAGCCATAAGGAAGCCCAGCCTTCTCCCTGGCCTGCTCTGGAGTAAGTAGGTGGGAGCAATAGCCTTCTCCCCAGGTGCCCCAGCCAACCCAAGTCCCTCACCTCAAATACCAACAAGGTAAATCACTCCCATTTGTCTCCTGCCAACAAGAACACCTCTTTGCTGGAACTGAGATCATCTCATCAATGATAACACCAACTGATGCTAATAGGGCTCTTGCTGTGTGCCAGGCTCTGTGCCAAGCGCTCTGGATGCTCACAAAGCCCCTATGAGGTAGGTAAAACCACGAGAAAACAGGCATAGATAGGTCCAGTAATGTGCCCAAAGCCACACCACTAGTCTGTGGCAGAAGCAAGCTTTCTCCCTAGGCTGACCCAACTAGTGTCCCTTTACTGCTACTCTGTACCCCTTCACTAAGGACGGACCTATATTCCTAACCCTCCTAAATATAGTGCTCTTTTAAAAAGGAACTGGTTACTGAAATCAGTTTCTAACCTATGGAAGAAAAGCTCTTGGAGGGAGATGAGGGATGTGGAAGTGTCTACAGGAGCTCTGCTGTACCTATAGCCAAATCCCATTCCCCCAGTCCCCATACAAATACAGGTGTTCTGTAACTGCCCTTCCCATTCTCCTTCCCTTTACTGCACTGGAACAAATAGGTGTGAACCATCCCCATTTTACAAAGGAGGACACAGGGTTAAGGAGTTAAATGACCTGCCCAAGGCACTGGCCTTGAGCTCAAGTGTTCTGGGAGTCTGGGGTACACGTTAAACGCCCCACCAGGACACTGCTGGGAACCAGGGAGTGGTGATGGCCCTATAAGCACAGAGTTTTGAGGAGGGACACAGCAAGGAGGCACTGTCACATAGCCTATCACACATTCCAGATGGAAAGCAGTGGGTGATTAATAATGGACCTCCCAGATAAAGCTGACAAACATTGGAATGCTGCCTTCATTTGGGACTGATCCCTAAAGGACTCAGAAGGGGGGGGCCCCAGCCCTGGGGATGCTGGTGTAGGGGCTCTGCGGGCCTGGTTGGCTTTGGCAGGTCCCAGAGTGGACCCGTGGCTGGTCAGCAGGTGGCGTGGGCGTAGAGGTGATTTCTCCTTGGGAGACGGGGAAGATGAAGCACCTAATCGCCTTTTCAAAGCCGGGGCCTTGAGAGGAGGTAGCGGGAGAAAAACTACAAATCCCAGAAGCCTCTGCTCCTCGGCGAGTCACGGATGGTTGCCATGGTTTCAGAAAACAATATGGCTGCTCCCAGCTGGGACACAAGTCTTGGGATTAGAGAGGCAAAGTCGGGTCTGGGCGGCGGCAGCGGCGAGAGAGGAGGCGCTTGAGGGATCGTGAGGTTGGGCTTGGACGCTGCACAGCTGGAACGGCCTGGCCTTGCCGAGGGCACCAATGGCGGGCAGCGTGGACGAGGAGGCGCTGCACCAGCTGTACCTGTGGGTGGACAACATCCCTCTGTCCCGGCCCAAGCGAAATCTCTCCCGGGACTTCAGTGACGGAGGTGTGCGCCCAAGTGTGTGTGCGTGTGCGCGCGTGCCTCTGTGTGTCCGTGTGTGTCTACATGTTTTGTCCTGCAATATGGGTTACTGTAGGAGTCTGTGTGCATACATGTCTTCTTTGTGCTTGTGTGCGTGTGTTGGGGGTGTGTTTGGGGGATGTCTGACTATCTTCTAGGACTTCAGTTGTATAAGTGTGTGTGTATTTCTATCTGCATCTGTGGGAATGTGCGTGTGTGTGTGTCCATATATACGTCTACATGTTCTATCCTTTATGCATGTGTGGTATGTGTGTGTGTGTCTCTGAGTGTGTGAGTCTATGACTCCCTCTTGGGACTTTAATGACTATGATGTGTGTCTGTATATGTATTTGTGCATCTCTCAGTGTGTGCACATTCATTGCTGTATTCTATATTGTCTGTCTTGTGGGAGTCTTGTGTGTGTTCAGATGTGTGTTGACACATTCTGTCCTGTATGTATGTAGAAGAGTCTTGTGTGCATATGCCTTTCTTTGTGATTGTATAGATGTCTGTGTGTCTAAGTCTGTCTCCTGGGTTTTTAATGACAGAAGTATGTGTCTCTCTGTGTGTATATTGGTGTATTTATGACTTGTTGTGCTTGTGTATTGGTGACTGTCCCTTGGAACTCTACTGATGGAAGTATCTCTGTGTGTGTTTGTGCATCTGTGTGGTTTTGTGTGTGTGTGTGTGCTATATGTGTGCCTGTGTGTCTATATACACTGTGCTATGTGTATATCTGTAGAGGGATCTTATCACATATATCTGTTTGTGTGAGTCTGTGACTCTCTCCTGGGACTTTGGTGTTGGTGTGTGTGTGTGTGCATCTATATCCATGTGAATTCCTAGTGTGAGGCCCCAGGCTCCTAAAGGGCTCTCTTGGAGACTCATTCTCTGCTAGAGGGACAGAGACCTCAGTTTTCACATGCCCTGAGTTAATGGGGAAGGGATGCAGCTCCTCTGGGGTATGCTGCAGGCTTAGTCTCTGACTGATCACTGATCTCGCTTTCTTGTTCCCCACTCTACTACCACTCCCTCCCTGTCATTATTCCCCTTTCCACCTTTCCACTTGGCCCCACCACTCTGCCGCCCCTGATTCTCCCACCCCACCCATTTCTTCTCCTTCCCTCTTCTCCCTTACCCAACCCCCCACCTTCCATATCTGCTCCCACCCCTACTCCCTCAGTCCTGGTCGCAGAGGTCATCAAGTTTTACTTCCCCAAGATGGTGGAAATGCACAATTATGTCCCTGCCAACTCTCTCCAGCAGAAGCTCAGCAACTGGGGTCACCTGAACAGGTAGCAGAATACCTGGGCACACTAATGGGGACTGCAGCCCCTATCTGGGATCCCAGGAAGGGCTGCCCAGCCCCTCCACCTCCTATGGTCTCCACAGCCCAGGCTGGGACTGTGTTGGTTTCAGGGAGGGGAGGGACAATGCAAACAGAATCCATCTGGTAACAAAATCAAGGGACTCTTCAATTGGGGAGGTGACAAGGAACCTCCACACTCCCAAGCACGGGGCTCAGATGCGTGCCTTCCCATTCCCCCAGGGCTGCACACTTAAGGACTGCAACCACCACACCCCCTTCCTTCCTCTCACCCCCCTCACTTCATTCTCCCATGACCCAGTCCACCATCCCTCTGTCTATCCTCCAGGAAGGTGCTGAACAAGCTGAACTTCTCGGTACCAGAGGACGTGATGCGCAAGATTGCCCAGTGTGCCCCGGGCGTGGTGGAGCTGGTGCTCATTCCACTGAGGCAGCGCCTGGAGGAACGGCAGAGGCGCACGAAGCAGGGCATGGGCTCCTTACAGGTGCCACCCAAGTCAAGCTTCTCCCACTGCTCTGGGGGAGCTGCCCGGGCAGCAGGAAGCCCCCCCTGTTGGCCATAAGTGTGGGAGAAGGGTGCCTGGCTATAGGGAGCCTGGCCTGGGGGATCACAGAAGTGACATGGGGCTCTATGGGGATGGGCAGCCTGAGCTCACAGTGGCCCCTGGGGGTGTTCTTTCAGGAGCTGGCCCCCCAGGATGGCACTGACTACATGGATGTGGGTAAAGTGGCCTTTATTTTTCCTTCTTCCCAGGAGGAGCCTTCCTCCTGTTCTTCTTTCCTATGTGGGGTGGGGGTGGGGAGGGGAAGGAAAATAGGACTCCAGCACAGTTACTCCTCCACATGCCTTGTCTCAGGTTTGTCCCAGAAGGCCCCAGGGGAAGGTGCCCCAGACCCCCAGGGAGGGGGGCAGCTCAGGTAAGGAGGCTGGCAGTTCCTGGCCTCAACAGGCCTGGTGATCTCTGACATCCACACCGAGCCGGGAGGTGAAGGTGGGGGCAGGTTGCACCTAGAAAGGTAGGGAAGTCAGGGACGGGGTGGGGAGGTGAGGAAGGTGGGGGGTAGGAGGGGAGGCCAGGCTGAGGGACAGGTGTGGGTGGGGCCCGAAGTCTAAGCCTCCCCTAAGCTGCTTCCCACCCCAGGCGGGGTCGGCTGCCAGCGCCCCGGCCTCCAGGGTATACCCAGGCGCTGCAGGGCGACCCAAGCTTCGTCCTCCAGATCGCTGAAAAGGAGCAAGAGCTGTTGGCCTCGCAGGAGACCGTGCAGGTAAGAGTGCACTAGGAAGGCGGGGGATTGGCGGGGAGGCCTTGCAGCCTGGAGAGGCAGGGGCAGAGGGCAGCGGGCCGTCAAGCTTGACTTCTGCGTGGCGCGGCCCAGGTCCTGCAGATGAAGGTGAGGCGTTTGGAGCACCTGCTCCAGCTCAAGAACGTGCGCATCGAAGACCTCTCCCGGCGGCTCCAGCAGGTGGAGCGTAAGCAGCGGTGAGAGGCAGCCCCCGTACCCGCCAGAGCCCAGACGCTGCGACCAACGCACCCACCGACGGAAGACGGACGGACGAATGGGTGGGCGGAGCCAGCAGCTCCAATGAGCCTCCTGGGGCACGAGCGCCCCTCTCCCTTGGGGTAGGGGTAAGCGTCGGGGGTGGTGGGACAGAAGCCCTTCCCCGCAGAGCCCCTGACTGAGCCACGTCCTTCCACTCCATCGGGGTCAGGAGAATGGACCGCTTTCCAGAACCCAGAAGCCACAAGCAGAGACCTGGCGTGCCCCCCAAAGCAGTGCCTGACACCGGGGTCTCCACTTTGGCGCTCCCTGCCCTGGGCCTTGGGGGGTCGTCCACTGGCTCAATCCACAACCCTAGAACTGGGTCCCCGCCCAGCTCTGAGGACAGCAGCGTCTCCATCCAGGCTGGTGCTCGGCACCTTGGGCCGTGGGGGAAGCTGCCCCAGGCAGCTGAGGGACTCCCCTGCCCCTCCTGGGTGCTCACCTGGGACCCAGCTCAAGGTTGGGGAGTGCAGCAGCTGGAGAGGATGGGGTGAGGAATGGGCTCAGCTAGGAGTGGGGAAGCCATTGCTATGCCTATACCAATGGCCCTCCCCTCCAATGGGTACTGTTGAGAATGTTTGGGGGATATGGGACAGGGCTACCCCATTAAAGGTGTTGTGCTCTCTCTTCTGTGCCTTCCTTCTGTCTCTGCCTGGATTCCTGAGGGCAGTGAGTTCCTGCCCACCTTGGCTGCCTCCCACCCCTTGAGTGGAAGAACCTTGTAGGCCCAGAGTGGGTCTCACCTTGTGAGCATGTGGGCCCTGGGTGGCCATTGCTTGGTAGGTGGATGATATCACAGGGGCCAGGTCTTGTGTACTAGGACAGATTGACTTCTAACTCTGGCCTTAGACTGACCCCCAAACCCACCCTCACAGTGTCCTCCAACCCTGTCCAACCCCAACCCCAAACCCAGGCTTCAGATTCTCCCCAAATGTAGCCACACAATCACCCCCAACTCTACCCAAGGACTGACCCCTAAATCTGTCCTCTGTATCACTCCCATAGACTGATCCCAAGTTCTGTGGACTGAGGCCAACCTTGACTCCCAACCCTGACCAAGATGCCATGGCCATGGTGTGACCCTAACTCTGATCATTTACTGACTACCAGTAGCATTGAAAATTTGTAAATCCTGAGACCTCAAAATTCTACTTCTAGGCATATGCTCAGTATATACCCAGGGGAAACTTAATCTCTTGTGTTCTGTGTTCTATAACACATGTACAGCAATGTTCATAGCAACATTCTTTGTAATAGCAAAAGAACTTGTATTATCTATTACCATGTAAGAAATTACTACAAACTTAGTGGCTTTGAATAGCATACATTTATTATCTCAAGAGTCCAGGCATGGCTTAGCTGGGTTCTCTGCTTCACAGTTTCTCACGAGGCTGCAGTCAAAGTATTGACCAAAGCAGTGGTCTCATCTGAAGGCTTGACTGGGGAAGGACTCACTTCCAAGTTCACTTGGTTGTTGATAGAATTCAGCTCCTGTGGGCTGTTGGCCTGAGGGCTTCAGTTTCTTGAAGGTTGTTGGCTGGTGGCTGCCCTCATTTCCTTGCTATGTGGCCATCTCCAGTATGGTAGTTTACTTCATCAAAGCCAGCAAGGGAGAGAGTTAACAAAGTCTGCTAGCAAGATGGAAGTTACAGTCTTATCTAATGTAATCATAGAAATGACATCCATCACATTTGTTGCTAGAAGTAAGTCACTAGGTCCAGCCCACATTCAAGGGGAGAGGTACACATGGATGTGAATACCAGGAGGCAGGGATCATTTTAGAAGCTGTCAACCACAAAGAGGAAAAAGCAATGAAAGGATAAAATCTAGCATAGTGGTTACCTCTGAGGAAGCAGAGGCAGAGATGCAAGAAGCACATGAGTAAATATTATTTGTAATATCTTAGTTCTTGGGGCAGGTGGTGGGTTTACAGGTGTTCATAAGTGGACTGTTTATGGACAAGTGTGGAGAGAGTGTCTTGAAACAAGGATATGTGTAGTCCAATTCTGTTCACCTGAGTTCCTAAAATATTAAATAAAAATAAAGGTTGATGACTACTCCTGACCTTGGTCTGAACCCCTTCCTTGCACTCAGCCTGGACTTAGATTAACACTTGCTTCTGCATGACCTTCTGCCTTCCCCAAATTAGCCACCAGCTCTTCACACATACTAATCCCAGCTCTAGCACTGTTCTCTCTCCATAGTCTGCACTGGGTCTCCAGAGTTCTGTTTTCTGAACCTTTCATCCATAGACCACATCTGTAGGCTCCTGTGTGTGGAGCTCGTAGAGGTAGACTGTGGGAGGGGCCTGAGGACCAGCAGGTGGGGCAGGGCATGGTTCTGCCTGACAGGAGCACAATGGGCCCAGAATGCGGGTTCAGTGATTGAGATCACTCCCTGGAGAGTCTGCTGGCCTCCTCCAGGGCAGAGGCTGGGCCAGGTCCTGGAGGTTCCTTTTTATTGAGTTCCCCCTCTCTATTCCTAGTATCTAGATATGCCTCAACCCACAATCACAGCTCACAACCCTACAAATCAAACCCCAAAAGCAATGGAGAATTTTACTGAATGTTTCTTGGGAATAAATGTGAAGGTGGATTACATGACACATTATAATTCTTTTTTTTAAAAAAAATTTTATTTATTTATTTATTTTTAAAAGATTTTCTTTTTCTCCCAAAGCCCCTCAGTACATAGTTGCATATTTTTAGTTGTGGGTCCTTCCAGTTGTGGCATGTGGGACACAGCCTCAGTGTGGCTTAATGAGCAGTGCCATTTCCGTGCCCAGGATTCAAATTGGCAAAACCCTGGGCCGCTGGAGCAGAGTGCATGAACTTAACCACTCAGCCATGGGGCCAGCCCCGACACATTATAATTCTACAACTCTTCTTTCAACATCTCTCTTATTCCCCAAACTTCCACTCTGACAGCCATTGACATATTTCTCCTGCCCTGCTCCTCACTTCCCTCTCCCCTTTCTTCTGGTTCGTTCATTTATTTATTCATTCCTTAAATGTTTATTGAGCGTCTACTATGTACTAAATGCCAGGAACACAAAGATAAGTTTATACATGATTTATCTCCTCCAGTGTTCACAATCCTAGAAGGGGAGGAGGCATGTAAAAAAGTATTTAAATTTTTTTGTTATTTAACATTTTAAATAGATAAAACATATAATTAAAAAAAAAACATATAAAAAGTGAAAAGTCTTGCTTCCCGCACCTCCAATAAGCATCCTGTATCTTTAGTTTTTGTGTATTCTTCCAGAGTGTGTTTATGGGAATACAAGCAAACACCCACATTTATTGTTCTCTTACCTCTCTCTCTTTTTTTAAACGTAAGGGGGGAGCGTACTACCCACTTTATCCTGCATCTTGATTTTCCACTCAGCAAGATTGCTTGTAGATCTGTGATGGTCAATGTTATGTGCCAAACTGACTGGGCCACAGGGTGCCCAGATATTTGGTGAAACATTATTCTGGTGTTTCTGTGCGGGTGTTGTGGGATGAGATTAACATTTAAATGGGTAGAATGAGAAAAGCAGATTGCTCTCCCTAATGTGGGTGGGCCTCATCCAATCAGTTGAAGGCCTGAATAGAATTAAAAGCCTGACTATCCTGTGAGTAAGAGAAAATTCCTCCTGCATGATGGCCTTTGAATTGGGACATCAGGACATCAGCTTTTTTCCTGCCTTTGGGGCAAGTGGTGGGTTTACAGGTGTTCATAAGTGGACTGTTTATGCACAAGTGTGGAGAGAGGTCATGAAACAAGGATCTGTGTAGCCCAATGGAGTTCTTTGGACTCTAAAACATCAATTTTTCCAGGGTCTTGAGCCTACCAGCCTTTGGACTGAAACTAAATCATCATCTGTCCAGCTTGCTGACTCATCTTACAGATTTTGAAACTTGCCAGCCTCTATAATCACATGAGCTAGTTCCTTATAATAAATCAATCTCTCTCTCTCTATGTATATATATCTCATTGGTTCTGTTTCTCTAGAGAACTGTGACTAACACAAGATTTTTATGTATCAGTCCATTGAAAACTTCTGTTTTTAAAGCCGTATGAAATTCTATTCTCTGGGGGGCTGGCCCAGTGGCTGAGTGGGTAAGTTCATGTGCTCCACTTCAGCAGACTGGGGTTTGCAGGTTTGGATCCTGGGCACGGACCTACGCACCGCTCATCAAGCCATGCTGAGGTGGTGTTCCACATAGAGGAACTAGAATGACCTGCAACTAGGATATTCAACTATATACTGCGGCTTTGGGGAGGGAAAAAAAAAAAGAGGAAGGTTGGCAACAGATGTTAGCTCAGGGCCAATCTTCCTCACCAAAAAGCATACCTTAAAAAAAAATTCTATTATCGGCATCAAATTTATCAGTCCTCTATTTAAGGACATTTTAGTTGTTTCTAATCTTTTGTTATTAATAATGGTAATGTAACAATGAATAACCTCATACATTCATAATTCAGTATTGTATGCAAATATATCTGTACGATAAATTCCAGAACTGGGGTTGTTATGTCAAAGAATATATACATTTGCAATCTTGATAGATATTGCGAAATCGTCCTCCACAAGGGCATGGCTCAGAGCAGAGGCTGAAGACTGGTGGTCTGTTGCCCTGCTTTGGCTTGCACAGTGTTGTGTTTTTACAAAATTAATTGCTAATTTTTACGCTGATGAGGAGGTGAAGCAACAAGAATTCTCATACTCTGCTGATGGGAGTATGAGTACAACCATTTCAGAAAACACTTTGGCAGTTTCACACAAAATCAAACCTATGCCAATGCTATTCTATCAGGGTTCAATCAGAGAAGTGGAAAGGATTTGTTACGGCGATTTGACTTCAAGTAACTGTTCAACAGTCTCTGTAAGGCTGTCATTTTTGCATCTGGTGCTGGAGCTTAAAGTCCACAGGTCAGGCAGTTGGTGAGGGAAGATGGACATAAAGTGGAGGAGAGAAAGGACAAGTTGGAATCCATGAGCATAAGCTGGAACCCTTGAGGACAAATTGGACCTCATGTCATTTCCCACTGCCTGCAAACTTGATGAAGTGGGTATCCTGCTGGAGAGGCTGGCCTCCTGTGTTATCTGGCCCCAGGAGTCAGAGAAGCTGAAGGAGGACTCAGGGAAAGGTGGAGCAAGCCTGGCTGCTACCCCATGTCAGGGAGCTGAGCCAGCAGATCAGCAACAAAGTGCATGGGCTACAAAACTCCTGCCTAGACCCTGCAGGTGTAAAAACCAATATAGCCACTGCTTTTCTTCCACTCTCCAAATCTCATGCAAAAATGTCTGTTGTGGCCCACCCCAACTGGAAACATAGATAGAAGGAAATTCTGGGAAATATTTTTCACCATAGCTAAGTTGACACACTATAAAGCCACTACAGCTATGTTCCAGCAATTCCATTCTTCAATATATACATGTTTACCAAGACATGTACTAGAATGTATAATACAGTATATACTATTTTTGTGTCAGACTTCTTTTGCTGATTATTGTCTGTGAGAATCATCCATATTGATGCATGTATTCAGTAGGCTGTTCTTTGGCATTGCTGTATAATATGCCACTGTATGAATATCGTGCACTTTATTTATTCATTCTATCATTGATGGGCACTTTGGTTATTCTAAGTTTGGGTCTACGACAAATGGTGCTGCAATGAATATACATCTGTGTCTTTTGGTGTATAACTAAGGTGGAATTGCTGGGTCATAGGGTTGGCATTTATCAGCTTTATTAGATACTGCCAAGCAGTTCTCCAATGAGTTTACAGTCATTTAATTTTTATTAAAAAGAATAGAGTCAGGAATGCCATGTGTTTGGAGCAGGAGTGAATGTTTTACATGTGCTCAATCTGTTTTCCTAAACTGGAGTTGCGAATTCCTCCCCAGACTGGCCTCCTCTCCAAGGAGCCTGGGGATTCCCTCAAACAGCCATCTAGCTCTGGGAAGGCCTTTTGCTCAGGAAGTCCCAGGGCCTGGGGACCACTCTGATGTTGGCACACCCTCTTCTTGGTACACAGGCCCATTGGGCTGTGATGGGGCAGCCATGTACCTTTTACTCTGACTTCTTCCTGGTATGAAGAGTTTAATTTCCCAGGGGGCCAGCCCTGTGGTGGAGTGGTTAAGTTCGCATGCTCTGCTTCCACGGCCCAGGGTTTGCCAGTTCAGATCCTGGGTGCAGACCTAGCACGACTCATCAAGTCCTGCTGAGGTGGTGTCCCACATAGAAGAACCTATAACTAAGATATGCAACTACGTACTGGGGAGCTTTGGGGAGGGGGGAAAAAAAAAGAGGAAGATTGGCAACAGATATTAGCCCAGGGCCAATCTTACTCACCAAAAAAAAAAAAAAAAGCTTCATTTCCTCCTGGAGGTTTTCCAACAGAACCATCAGCACTTACTGTGGCCATGGGGCCTTCCCTGGGAGCCTGTAGTATCCCCAGGCACCGGCAGCTCTGTATTGCAGGTCTTCCCAGTTGGTTAGTCATCCATGTTGCCCAGCACCTGGGAGTGCAAGGAGTGTTTGGCAGGGACAGGGGACCACAGTTCTTTCTGTGTGGTGTACCTCCCACCCTAAACTGCGAGTGTCTTTAACTCCAGGGTCTAGTACAGTAACTTGTTCATCATATACACTTAGTAAATATTTGTTGAAAGGAGTTGACAATTAGGAAATAGCCCCACGCAGTGCACAGTTAGCAGCTAGTCTGTGTGTTTGAAAAAGCCCACAAATAGGGATTGGTGGGGACTATGGCAAATTAATGTGCCAGCCTCTCGTGCCAGGGTGAAATGTGAGTCCATGTTGTTAGATCTTCTGATATTTCAAAAGAGGAAATAAGAGGAAGAGGAGGAAGAGGAAGAGGGAGAAGAGGGAGAGGAGGAAGGGGAGGAAGAGGTGGAAGAGGAAGAAGAGAAGGAAGAAGAATTAGAATTTTAAAAAGACTTATGTGGGCTAAACAAAGTACATCAACAACCTGCTTCGGGCCCACTATCTGCCAACTTTAGACCTTGAAGAATAGAATAGATATGGGAATACAACTGGGGGGAGCCATAGTGAGGCACATGGAATGGTGTAGTTGGGTGGTAAGAAAGCATCCGGGCAGGAGAGGATGGGCTGGGGTCAGAATGTGGAACTCTAATGCCCGCGCAGGAGGGCAGCATCTCAAACGCCAGAGTGCGCACGAATCACCCAAAATACTGCTAAGAAGTTTGTAAAGCTCTGCTGAAGACAGGCCCAGGGCACGGAGCGCGTTGGAGGTGGGGAAGATGCAATGGGAACAATAGCTCAGGAAGACATAATTTGCCAACAGCGTGCAGACCATAGACCAGGAGATAGGTTAGGGGCCACAGGGAGCCAGCGGAGGGTAGGAGCCTTGGGGGCTCCCCAAAGGCAGCGACCCTGGTCCTCCTGAAAGAAAGCTGGTCCTAGCCACGCCACGCCCTCTCTCCCCTAGTTACGGTGGTAGGAGGCAGCCGCGTGCTCCGGACAGCTCCTCTTGGACACCGTAGGTGCAGCGAAATGCGGGGGTGGGGATGTGTTGTTCAAGGACCTGCAGGCGGAGCCGCGGATAGCACTTCTAAAGACCTGAGGGTCAAGCTTCTCGCTCCCATGCTCTGTGCCTGCGCGCACATCCCACCTCGCGGCGTTGAGCTAGGCGCATCCCGCTGCCATGGCGACCGCCTCCATGGAGACCGGGAGCAGAGGCTGCCGTCCCCGCGGGCACCAGCACAGATTCTCTCAACCCCCCACCCCGCGTGCCGCCTTTGTTCTGATGCTTATCCCGGCCGACCGGGCTCCCAGGACGAGTCTCAGGTCCACGCGGGAGAGCTTCGCCGAGGCAGGGGCACGGGGTGGAGGGGGAAGAGGCCGAAAACCGGGGGTTGCAGAGCGGGAAGGATGGAGGGTTCTTCAGCTCCTGACAGGACCTAGCGGTGCCCGTATCGATTGCCGATGTAGGCTTGGAAGCCTAGGGAGAAAGACAACCTTCAGGTGCCCGACCTAGCCCTGAGTCCCGCCTGACGGCCGCTCGAGGGGACAGAGCCCAGGGAGGCCTTTTCCAAGTTGAGGCTGAGGCAGGAGGTGCAAACTCCACAGCCAAAGGAGGGACGCGGGCGGGGCCTATTCGACGCGCTCGTCCTTCCCTCTCTACCTTCTGCCCCATGCTGGCCCCTGGCCACGTCGGGCACCCTGCCCGCTTTCCTCGCGAGAACTGAGACAGCCCTGGGTAGGCGTGGGCTCGCATAGTGCAGCCGCAGGGCCCCTTGCACGTGACGCAGTGGCGCAACGCCTGTTGGATGTTCCCTGGCGCCCGCTTATTGGTCGAGGCGTCCTCGCCCCACCCCCTCGGTTGACCAATGGGTGGAGGCGGGGGCGTGGCCATGAGGCGGGCGGCGGCGGCGGCGCGGGGGTCTCTCCTCGTGCTCTGCGTCCAGCCCCCGCTGCCGCCGCGACCGCCACAGCTGCCGCCGCGGTCGTCCGTCACGGCCCCGCAGTGCGCCCTGCACGGTGAGACTGCTCCTCTTCCGGCCACCTCCTGGTTCCACCCCGCTCGCTGTGGGTTCCTCCTGGCCTAGCCGCTGTCCTAGGCAGTCGATTCCTGACACCCCAACGGGCTGGGGCGGGGGCTCCTCTGTCGGGGCCCGGCCCAGGAGGGCTCCCTAGTACCTGAAGTGGGGAGATGTCAGGCCCTGGGGCTGCGGGTGACCGTTAGCTGGTGGAGCTGGGGTATTTTGCGCGGCGCGCTGTCGTGGGCACGTGTGACACAGTGAGGACGGGGTTTAATGGGGTCAGCGCCGGCAGCACCCCTCTATTGTCACCGCTTTGCTGTGTGACCTTGGACGAGTAGCCTCTCTGAGCGTCCTGTGCCTCGGCACCCTCAAGGAGGAGGGCGGTGATGTCGGGGAGTGCGGGCTCCCGAGACTCCTGCGTCAGCAGAGGTGAGGGTGGGGAGGGCACAGGATTGTCTCTGAGGGACAGAGCCGCCGACTCGAAGTCCAGCATAGGTGTGATGGGAGGAGAAACGTCCAGCCGTATCTGTCCCCCCAGAAGATGAGAACGGGTCGGGGATAGGGGTGCCACACCCACGGGGATGGAGGCGGGAGAGGATTCAGGGTCCTACACCCGGGCCCCTGGTGCCTCTGGGGGCTTGGTCAGCACCTCCCTGTTGTCACTCAGCAGGAGGGGTTCTGTTTAGGTTCTGGGCTAGTGTTCCTGTTGATGAGCAGGAGCCCTGCTGGACTGAGAAGGGAGGCCTTAGGTTGCCCTTCTTCTTGAATCTTGGCACTGAGAAGTGGGGGTAGGGCGTTTCTCTGCCTGGGGAGCTGAAGAAGGTCAGGGGCAGCAGTAACCCCCTAGACCTAGCCTGGCCTCTACTTCTTGGGGCCTCCAGGTGACAGGCCCAGGGTAGGGCCTGGGTGGGGCAGGCTGGTAGACGCTACAGGGGTCTAAGCACCCTCCAGCTGGGGCTGTGGGGGGATTGTGAGGAAGGGAGGCTGGGCAGGGGAGGGCAGCACTTCTTGGGGAGACAGGAGAGTGTAGGATGGTGGGGGTTCCTTACCCAGTTCACCCCCGCTCTACCCATTTGTGAGAGAGAGAACACCCATACTTATCCTTGCACTTTTGGCCTGCTGGATGGAGGAGGAAATGGAGTCACATCCAGACTGAGTTCATGTAAAACTGCCACAACCACACCTGACCTCCAGCCTTCCCTTTCTAAGCTTTGTTCTAGGTATGCAGGCCCCCACGGTGTGCCCAGCCCTATGTCAGGTTCTGGAATCAGCAGGTCAGTGTGGCCTCCGTGGGCACTCTTTTTACAAACTTGACCTTTAATGAGAGGCTGGACGATGTTCTGCTGGACTGAGTCCCTAAGCCAGGACTGAGCCCTGGGCAGGGGGCGAGGAGGGTAGAAGGCTGTGGAGTTCTTGGCTCAGAAAATCCTTGAACAGGTTGAGAATGGAGATTGAGGAATGAATGAGAAAGGTGGCCCCAAGAAGTTGAGGGCATGCTCCCAGCCATAAAGCAGAGGACAAGCTGGGGCTGGCCCTGTGATGCCTGGGATTTGGGGGCTGCCTCTGGAGCACAGAAGTGGTGTGGGGGTGCAGCTGTGGGGTGGGCAGCAAGAGGGTGGCACTGGAGCTCCACTTTGCCATAGACAAACTGTCTTTGGCTTCCCCCTGGCCTGGAGCCATGGGCCTCAGCGTGGGACGTCCTAGAGTAGCAGCTAGCACCCTGTGGGCAGGAGTCTAGGGGGCTGCGAACTCTGGGTTCCTGTGTAACCGTCCATCTCTGCCCACTTGCCATGTCCCTGGGTCTGCTTCTCATGCCAGAGGCTCCAGTGGGCTGGCTGAGGCCTATCCGGGGTAGGGTAACCTCGAAGCAGCCTTTCTTGCTAAAGCTGAGAGTGGCTTGAGCTGGCAGCTCTCTGTCTCCAGACAGCAGGTTCCCCTAATTTCCCTGAGAGTAGCTGAGAGCCAAAGAAGCCCCCCAAGGCTCTTGTTCCAGCTTTCCAGCCCTCCCAATCCTGTGACTGTCCATGGTAGTAGCCCCCTGACTTGTTGATAGCCCCTCTAAGGGGGTGGGTGTCTTTTTTTTTTTTTGCCAGAGTGAGAGCATTTCCCAGGATGTACATTCTTCGCAGCTGCATTGTGAGTCCTTCTGGTTGTAGGGGACAGCGGACTCCAAGCATTCTGCTCTCTGGCAATCCCTGGGGACCTGGCTGACCTGGGAGTGGGGGAGGGGGAAGCAGGAGAAGAGAAGGGGGAGGGAGGCCCCTCAACACTTGAGCTGTTTTCTGAGAAGGCTGAAATCCCTGGGGCCCACCCTGAGAGCCATTCCTGGTTGTTTAGGATTGGCCTGAAGTGCGTCTCCGCCAGAGCAGCCCTGAAATGGCTGTTGCTTTAGAAACGAGGCCTTTGGGGGTTTGCTTTTGCAAAGGTGGGGGTGGAGTGGGGAGCATTGTCACAGAGCTTTCAGGCATCAACTGCACTGAACCCTTGGAGGAAGAGGCCATTGCTTATTCCTGTGTTACAGATGAGGAAGCTGAGGCATAGAGATGCAAAGTAACTTCCCCATGCAGCCTGAATTTGAGCCAGAACTGCTGGGCTCTGGACCCATGCTCCTCACCTTGTCCCTGCTGCCTCTAGGCAACTGTGTGGCTTGGGCCATGCTCAGCACTTGGCTGGCACAGGAAGAGGCCTGGGGTTGCCAGGGGGCCACAGTTCCCTGTGGACACAGTTGCAGCAGGAGGAGGACCGATGCCCCCTCCTCCTGCTCCTGAGGAGGAATTATGTTTGGACAAGAGTGGCTCCCCAGGGAGAGTGACCGGCAGGGCTCTCTGCTGCAAAAGAAGGCTTGCTTTTTCCAGTCTCCTTTGGGCCCCTGAAGTCACTTGCCTCCCCTCTCTGTGTTCTCCCTGCCAGAGGGTTACAGGCAGTGCCCAAGTGCTTGCTCCGTCCTGAGCTCTGGGCAGTGCATGAGATATGGGTCCTGCCTTCAGTGGGCTTCCATCTCTAGGGGGGCATGGGCCCCCCCTTGATTGTGGCAAGGCTAGAAGAATGCCCAGTGTGAGTCCACACTGTGAGATGGGGGAGGGGAGTGCCCTCCAGGACAGGGGTTGGCTAAGAGAGTAGGGTGAGGAGTTCCTCTTCCTGAGAACCTCCGGTACAGTCACTGACCTTGGCGGGCCACGTCTGCCTAGAGGGCCCAGCCAAGGCCATGCTTGGGCTCCCCTTAGTTTGGTCCTTTATTCATTTAACAAATACAAACTGGACACAGCTGCTCCCTGCCAGGTGCTGGACTGGGGTTCTGGGGACACAGGGTTTGGCAAAAACACAGTCACTGTCCTTGTAAAGTGGGGAACATAGATATCAAATAATCCCAGAAGTGAGAAAGGGGATCCTTTCAAGATTTTCAGACCTATCCTGGGATGGGCCAGGGTGGGGTGGCATTGTGCTACCCTAAAAAAGGTTCTCTGGGGCTGAGACCCAGGCTAAGGTCTGGATGGGGAACAGGATTGTTCCTAGCAGGGGGATGGCCTGAGTGGAGGCAGGCAGGCAACAGGCAGTGGGTTGGGGGGAAGACAGGGGATGCCCTGCATGTACTGGGTCAGAGTGTTTTGTGAAGACTCCCCAGGAGCCTTTGCTCACCAGCCACTGGTTAAGTATCCTGGGAGATGGGTGGACCTTGTTGACATTGGGCTGTCATTCCTCCATGGCTGCAGAGGTGTGGCTGGAGCAGGCTCTGGGATAGGAAGAGGGCCTGGTAGCCTTACACTTGGCCATTTTTCACATGCTCTGAGTCCACAGCTTGTGGGGGCAGAGAGAGTGGGTGGGTTGGGGGTAGGCCTCTCTCCAGAGGCCAGGTTCCCTGGGGACAAGCTGAGCATTCAAGGGCTAAAGGTCTGCCCTTCTGGGGCTGATCCCAGAGTGACCCTGGCCAGAGATGAATGGGGGCATAGTTCCCCTCCCTGCAGCCTGGGCTGGGGCCTGGGAACTAGCCTCCAATGCGGGGGGGGGGGGGGGGGGGAGGGGGGGGGGGGGGTGGGGGGGTGTGCTGGCCTGGGGCTGCTTCTGCATTCCTTCCCTACCAGGGGGCTTGGGCCTGGTTGGGCTTCTCTTGTACTGGGAAATGGGGAGGGAGATGAGGCCTGCTCCCCTGGCTACTCAGCACCTGAGGGACCTCAAGGTCATGTCCTCCACAGGCCCAGCCCTGACTATGAGGCCACCCATAGTTTCTCTTCATTCTCTGGACTAGCCAAGGTCATTCACGGGTCACTCATCTCTACGTACTTATGTATCTCTGAAAAATAAGGACATACTATCTACATAATAAAGTTCCATTATTTCACCTAACAAGCTCTTTTTCTTAATGTCATCTAAGATCCAGCCCCATTCACATCTCCCGATTATCCCCCAAATGTCTTTTTTTATAGGAAGTTAAAAACCCCCTACCCCATTTATTTTTCTTCTTGTAACCGATTTGGTGGAAAAAACCAGGTCAGCTGTCCCACGGAGTATCCTGCCTTCTTGGTCTCTGTGTTAATCTAGAACAGCGGTTGGCAAACCTTTTCTGTGAAGGGCCAGATAGGAAATAATTTTAGACTTTGCAGGCTGTGCGGTCTCTGTCACAGCTACTCAAGGTAGTTTTGCTTTATGCAAAAGCAGTTTTAGACAACATATAACAAGTGAGTGTGGCTGTGTCCAATAAAACTTTACAAAACAGGTGGCGGCCCCACAGGCTGTAGTTTGCCCATTCCCTATCTAGAACAACCTACTCTTTTTTTTGCTTCTTGCAGTTTGGGGGGAAAAAAACAACAGGTCAGTTGTCCTATAGAATATCCTGCTTTCTAGGTTTGTCTCATTGCTTTCTTGTGGAGTCATTTAATTTGTCCCACTAACCTCTGTGTTTTCAGTAAGTGGGAAGTTGGAACTAGGGGCTCAATTAGATCCAGGTTAGACATTTTGGGCAGGACCCCCGTATCGGTGATGCTGTGACCTCATGCTGCTTCACATCAGGAGGCATCAATGTCAGGCTGGCCCACTGATGGAGGGGAGATTGATCAGTGCATGACTGGCTGATGTCACATCTCCCCATTGCAAACTTGTGTCATTCCCCTTAAGAACCCCAGGTCATCTGTCAGTGGTTCTTGGGTATCTGCAAGCATCCACTTCGGTCACCCTTTCCCCTCCTGGTTTAGCATCCGCTGACTCACTGCCTCCAGCATTTGTTTCTTTGGAGGTTGCAGAATTACTTAGCATTTGGTCATTCCTTTGTTATTTAATAGTGAGAATCCTTCTGTAAAGAAGAGCTTTCCTTTACCCACCAGGGCAATTTGGCTACCAGAAAGGCCAAGAGACAGGCTGAATTATTACTCTTTGTTGCCAATTTTCAGAGTAAAGAGTTAGGGCATTGCTACCAGCAGGCCGTGGTGACAAATGAGGGTTTGGGTTTGTTTGTTTTGCTTTCTCTCTTCTTTTTTTGTAATCTCTGTGAATGCTCCAATTTTATGTATTCCATCTGTTTCTGTCAATTGCAGTCATTATTCTTTTTGATGCTTAGATGGGTCCAGCTCAGCCCATCAGCAGCTCACACAGGCTTCCTGGGGGCACCTCCTACTGCCCCTGCCCTGAGGCTGCCCTTGGGGAGCTGAACTGGGAGGCCAGCCCCTCGAATCAGGCCAGAGTCTGAATGGTGGGTTGTGATGGGGGCAGCCCCTCCAAGGGGCTCTGACTGATCAAAGGAGGGAAAGCTCCACGGACATGTTTGTCTTCTTTGGGCCCCCATTCTTGCTCCCCTCCAAGCATTCTGTTGGCTCTGACCTAGACCCAGCTGTAGTGGGCGTGTGACCTGAATAATGTGGCCTCTGGCTGCAGGAGGGTACAGCCCTTGGGGTCACCAGCGCCAGAAATGGCCCCTAGAAAGTGCCAATGATGCCCTCCTCCTTTCCAGGCTGCCCTTCCCACCAGCCTCATGTGTGCTGGGCACAAGAGTCGTGTGCTGGGCACAAGAATCCTGTGCTGGCACTTTGGCACCCAGAAGCTGCAGCTCAGCACATGCTGGCTGGCCCCTGGGTCAGTAGGGTGTCAGGCAGGAGTGAGGGCTCTTGGTGAATGTAGGGAGTAGGGGCAGAAACCCCCTGTGCTAGATGTTGCAGGCACCACTTGGGCTGCTGAGAGCAGGGGGCGTTTCTTAAAGGGAGATCTCTGCTCTCCCCCAGCCGTGGGCACATGTGTGGCCCTAACTCCGGCCCTCCCCACTCGCCATCCTTCAGGCTCCTGCTCGTGTCCCTGGAGCATGGGAGGCTGCTGAGCTTGAGTGGCAGTGTCTGGCAGGAGCTGAGTGTCTCACCCTGTGGCAGGGAGGGCGTCCATGGCTGCAGCCAACAAGGGTGAGTGCCTTCCTGGCCTGGCGGCGTTTGCTCCAGTCTTCCAGCAGGCCCTGGTGGGAGGGGGCATTGTGGCATGTGAGGCCTGCATTGGCTGTGTGTGTGTGTGTCTGAATGTGAGTATGAGTTACATTACATCAGTAATTATACCAGTGTTTGTGCAAGGTTCTGGGATTCACCGAAGCCCTAGCAGGGAACCTGGGACCCTTGCTGGCTCCTTGGTGTGCTGGTCTATGGAAGTGTGTGCCCTCGTGTCCCCGTGTTCCAGGCTTCCTGTTTCACTGCAGGGTTTAGGGGTCCCCAGGGGCTTGGGCTGAGCACTGAGGCTGACGAGGTGAGTATGGCCATAGCAAGCAGTGGAAGGGAATTTGGGTTTTGTTCAGATTCCAGAAGGGCTCATAGAGGGATTTAGGCAAAGGAGGCCTGATAAGATTTGCGGGTCAGGTCTGGAGGCTCAGCAGGGAATGTGGAAGTACTAGGCTGGCCCCCTCAGGCCTCCACTGAGTGTCCAAGAACCCAGGCCCAGGCTGGCCCAGGCTATCCCACCAGCAGGACTCTAGGCAGGGCTCTTGGGAGACCTAGGGGCTGTGGGGGCCAGAGAGGTCTGGGGTCATGCTCTTGGCAAGACAGGCCTCCCCCAACCCAGATCCTCAACCCACCTCCCACTACTCTGCCTGTCTCAACTCTCTGCCTCCTGGCCTTGGAGGACCCAACTCAGCCGGGGACAGCTCAGGGCTTTTTGGAGAGTGAAGCAGAGGAAGGAAGGGTGTCTCTGGGTGGGGTCTGGGAGGCTCCACTAGGTTCTTCCATCTTCCCTGCCAGTGATCAGTGATGAGGTTGAGAGGCAGCCTCTCCTAGGGGGGCTTGGTGTTGTTTTTGGCCCTCTTTGTTTCTCCTATACCCAGGAAGATTCCACAGAGCCCGTTCCTGTTTCCTGTTCCTGCCCCGCTCCTCTCTCAGGTTGGGGTCATCCAGAGGAGCAGGCAGGGGCCTCAGGCACTGACAGACCTGGAAGAGAAGGTCCCAGAGATGGGGAGCTTGGCAGTGTGAAGGAGAGCACCAGACAGGGTACCCAGAGGCCTGGGACTGAGTCCTGCACTGCCTGGGGCGAGAGTCTGGAGGACTGTCTTCCTGTCTCTGGTGTCAGCCTCATCCCCTCTAAGTGAGGGGTCATATTAGCCAATCCCTGACTCCGCCCACACCCATTCTCAGGGTGGGTATTTTTTGTGGGAGGACTGGGCAGGTAGGGGCAGGTGAGGGGCCTCAAGCCTCATGATCCCCAGTGTCCAGTAGGACGTGGCCCAGCCCTGAAAGGAGTCCAGCCAGTGGGTGCTGCGTGACATCAAGGGCAGTTACAGGGGGTGGGGAGGTGACAAGGGGGAGTCGTCTCCTGGGGGTAGAGGAAGCCAGCAGCCCCTGGAGCCCTCTCCCACTCTCTTCCTAGGCAACAAGCCTAGAGTCCGGAGTATCCGCTTTGCAGCAGGTCATGATGCAGAAGGCTCCCAGAGCCACGTCCACTTTGATGAGAAGCTGCATGACTCAGTGGTCATGGTCACCCAGGAGAGCGACAGCAGCTTTCTAGTCAAGGTACGGGCACACCTCCCCCCTCCTCAGCCTTACTCTCTCCACCTCTTCCCCACCCCTGCCTGGCATACTGGGCCTGTCTGTTCCATTTCTTCTAAGCTGGCTTCATAGGCACATCTTTGTCCCTCCCTGGGCCTTGGTTTCCCGTCTGTAAAGCAGGAGGTGGTGAGAATGCAATGAGATGAGTGCATTTAGAGTATTCCTATAACAAGGTGAGCAGAGCCACTGTTATCATCGGTATCACCCCAACAACAGCAACGGAAGGTGGGTGTCAAGGCTTATGGGGCCATAGGCCTGGGTTTAGGTCCAGGCTTGCTATTCTGGCTCTGTGACTTTGGCCAGGCCTCTTCTCTGAATGAAGACAATTCCCACCCCATAGAGTTGTGCAAGAATGAAATGGAAGAATGTATGTTTGTCACACAGGTGTGAGGCTAATTGTGCTGATAAGAAGATGTGACTTTATTTACCCTTCTTTGGTAAACCTCTGGCTGATTTAGGCTCTTTTCTTTATCACCCCCATGTTTTCTGCTGGTGGAGCCCCCACCTCTCCTAGCAGTCACACCTCACACACCCTCCAGTATGGCTCCTCCAACTGCTGGGACATTGTCAGAGCCCACATTCACTTGGGAGGGGCAGGGGGCAGTCTCTGCAGGGGATGGATTGCCGGGAAACGGGCTGAAGTGAGGCCTTCAGGTCGGACAATGAGCTAGGGCTCCAGAGTAGAGCAGGAGTGCCCTGGGGGAAGGGGAGTGGCATTGAGACCACCCTGAGGAAGGGCCCAGATTCTTACCCATTTCTGTCCAACTCTGAAATCCTTGCTCTTTCTCCTACAGCTGACCACTTCCCCAAGGGAATAAACAGAGTGAACTAAAACTTTAAAAAATAGCTCCTTCTCCCCTCAAACCCCCCATTGCAAAATCCAATCATGTCTATTAGGGGAAATTTGGAAGACAGAGAAAACTATAGAGAAATTTAAAAGTACCCACAATCATACCATCCAGAAATAACCATGGTAAATATTTTGATGTGTGTCATTCCAGCTTTTTTTTAAAGCTTTGTTTCTAAAAACAAAAAGCTGGTCTAACAGTGTACATGCTGTTTTTTGCTTTCTTTTCTTGTGAACTGTCTCCTGCCTGTGTCACTAAATAATTTTCCAGGAGATTTTACAATTGCCTGGTATTCCGTTATATGTATCATCCTTGATTTAGTCGGTTCCCTATTCCTGGTGTTATGGCTGTTTCTATTTTTCACTGTTTTAAATAGAGCAGTAATGAGTATTGTTTTGCACTTCTCTCAGTATTTCCCCTGGAAGATTCTGTAAGGGGTGCAGCTGGGTTACAGCGTCACTGATGGCAGGTACAGCCAGAAAGCCCTCTTGAGAGGTGTGCCCTCCACGTGCAGAGTGTGGGAGCCACATGGGTTGAGCCTTTTTATGCAGTGACGTCAGGCTGCTCCCGTTGAAAAGCTAAATGCTCCATGCAGCATGTCCCAACTGACCCCCAGGGACAGGGCGGTCCAGCCCCTGAAACCGTGAGCAGGAGAGTATGTGCTCATGTGAGCCGTGGGTACAGCATGCACCCCTGTGCCTCCTGGACTGGCACTCGGTCAGCCTACCTACTCACAGCCAATCTGGCTTGTGACCCTTCAGACGACTGGAGTTTCCAAGGATGGCACCAGTCTCAGGGCATTGGTTGCCAAGCATTGCATATGAACAACAAAAATTGCTTGTGGCTTGTGCCGAGTCGGGGCCGCTGGGCACAGTAAGCAGCAGGTGGCACTGGGCAGGCAGGCATCCATGTTCAGGTGCCAGCCAGGCAGGCAAAGCCTGGGTTTAATGGCTGGTGCCAGGCTGTGGGCCAGCTCTGGACTGACACAGCTGGTCTAGTGTCTTCTGTCTCATTCTTCATTCTGTGCTACCGTTGATCTCCATGTGAGTGACTAGAGGACCAGTGTCCCTGACCCTAGGCTCTTGGCTCTGAGCAGGTCTCAGTAGTGGTAGATGGTGGACGTCCTGTGTCACGGGACTTTGCATCTCCCTGTGGGCAGTGGTTGGTGCCTTGCTGTGTGCCACATGTGGCAGAAGTGGCCAAGAGGTCTATGGGGAACTTTATCCTGGCCTCCAGCCAGTCATTTCCTAGCTTCTATTTCCTCGCGTATAAAATGGGCACTGAGGAGCTGCGAGGCCCTTGAGACAGCTGCTGAGGGGTGTGCTCGCTGAGCTGTGGGGATGAGGTCCTGAGGGGAAGGGCCGGGAACTACCAAGCTGGGGGTGTGGACCACCTGGAGTAGTGGTGGGAGTTAGGCTCCCTAGGGATCCCTGAGGAAGCAGCTGCAGGAGCCCACAGAATCCTAGGTGGCATGACCTGGGCTGCTCCTGGGGGAGGCTATAAGTGAAGGTGCCTCCTTCCCCCACCCTTCCTGCTGCAGGTTGGCTTCCTGAAGATCCTGCACAGGTATGAGATTACCTTCACTCTGCCGCCAGTGCACAGGCTGAGCAAGGACATCCGAGAGGCACCTGTCCCCAGCCTGCACCTCAAGCTCCTCAGCGTCATGCCCATCCCAGAAGGTGCGTCCCCTGCTCGGAGTGCTGGAGGACTGCCCTCTTCCATCAGGGTCTGGGTGTGTGTGGGAGTGAGAACATGGGTACTCCCTTCCCCCCATCTGGGTGGACAGGCTGCTCAGCAATCAGGGGTCATGATGCCTCTTAATGGGCTTGCAGAGTAGCAGCTTGGCAGGTCCCATGCCCCAGGCCTCACTCCCTAGACAGAAGTCCATGGGCTCATACTGTTGGCCTGTGTCTGCCCATCGCCTGATAGATACCTCTGTGGGATGATGGGAGCCACTGAGGAACTGGCTGTGTGCCTCCCGCCCTCCCTCTCACCTGCCCCTGGAGAAAAACCTGCCAGAGGCTCAAGAAGGAACTCTGGGCAGCTACTTCCTAGCACCTGCCAGTCCCAGGCTTTGGGATTCAGGCTGCTTCTTCCTACCCTGCCCGCTTCAGGCCCTCTCCCACTTCCCCCCACAGCCTGGCAGATGCTAGGGTGTCCGTTTCACCGTGAGCTGAAGCCCAGCTTAGGTTTCATGTTCCCTCACTTCCTCATGACTTTGCCCTTAAGTGGATTGAGTGAGTCCCCTCAGGCCTTTGCCTCCTTCTGCCTGATTTGCTCAAGACCTGCCTTGCCCCCCACCTTTCTCCATCACCCCCACTCCCTGCCTGCCCTTTTGGGGAATCAGCAGGCCCTTCTGGAAGCCTGAGTTTGACTCTTGGAGCCATAATGGCGTCTCTTAGGCCAGAGGCATGTACAGGTCACTGGAGAATGGGAAGTTTCTGAGGCCTGTGTGCCTCCTGAGCCATCCTTGCTCCTTTGGAGAAGGAGGCCAGTCTTGGTGGTGAGTGGGGCCCGTGAATGCTGGGGGGCAGGGGCCGGGGCAGGAGGCCATGCAGGTGCTGATTGCTGTGGGCTGTCCCTGGGCAGGTTACAGCATCAAGTGTGAATACTCGGCACACAAGGAGGGTGTCCTCAAGGAGGAGATGCTGCTAGCCTGTGAAGGTGGCACCGGGACCTGTGTGCGCGTCATGGTGCAGGCCCGCGTCATGGGTGAGAGCATGAGGCACAGGTCTGGCTAGAGCAGGGAGGCACCAGGTTGGCCACAAGGGGTTTCTGCCCTCCTCCCAGATCACCATCTGAAAAAGGGATCCTTGCCCTGGCCCAGGGTTCCCAACCTCCTTGACAGGTGTCTTTCCCTCTACCCCCTAGCAGAGCTGGGAGGGAAGGTGGAGGGGTCCCCTTGGAGTGGGTGGAGCCAGGGTCTAGCCTGGCATACTGACCTCTCGCCTGCCTTGCAGACCGGCACCACGGCACACCCATGCTGCTGGATGGTGTCAAGTGCGTGGGTGCTGAGCTAGAATACGACTCTGAGCACAGTGACTGGCATGGCTTCGACTGAGGCCATCTCCTGCCAGCCTCCAGGCCCCTCAGCCTTAAACCCCACCTCATCTCCGGAATGCTGCGTGATGGTGTGGCTTCCAGGCTCCTCGCCGGGTGGGTATGGGGGTGGAGCATCCAGGGGCCTCCCAGGGCCTCGCCCATGCCTCTCACCTCTGCCTTCATTTGTGCCACCTCCCTGCCTCTCCTGCATCCTCCTCTCCCACTTACTCCTCTCCTTGTGCCTCAGTCTCCTGCAGAAGAAATGGGTTGAGTCCCCAAGGAGGCTATCTGAGGAGGGGTGGGGGAGGGCCTGGGGTGGGTTCTCCCCACCTCCCACCCCAAGCCATAGGGACTCCAGCCAGGGCCTGGGAGAGGAGGGAGGGAGCTAGCTTTGTGACAGCGTCGCCCCATTACTACTGCTGCTGCCCCGCTTCAGCCACCTCTCCTGTCCCCTCCTTCTCTCCTACTGCTGTCCATGGGGAGAAGGAGGGAGGTGCAGTGCCCAACCCCTACTCCCCAGGTCTGTGTTACTTGGTTTTTAAACAACTGGTTGGGATAAAATCCTAAAGAAATAAAACTTTCAGTGGATACCAGAGGCCATTGGAAATTTTGTTCTCCAGGGCCCTGAGAACACCCAGTCTTTCCCAGATGGGCCAAGGGACAGATTTGGCTAAACTCATTCTTTTAGGAAGCAAGGGCACTTCATGGTATTATAGCACTTAGCCCCAAAAGAAGTATGCACAGGTGGTGGCATTTGAGGCCTGGGAATAGTTGCCAAGACAGTTTGGATGGGGAGGAGACTTCTGCCCAGGCCAGAGAGGTCTTGTGGTTGCCTTGGGGAGTTCTGTTTGGGATGCTCAACAGGGAGACAGCAGCATCCCCTTCTGCTCAGTTCCAAGCCCCATGCACAGCTGAAAGCCTCCTCATTTCTTTCTTGAATCCAGGCCCCCTCCGCTGCTCCACTGCTGGGGACCCCTCTTGTGAGGTACCAGCAGGCCATGGCTTCACCTTAGGCATAAATGCTTTATTGTCACCTTAAGGTTCTCAGGCAGGTGGGGTGCATGTCATGGTTGGAGGGAGGTGCCTGACATTTCATACTCGGGGAATGAAAATCACCCTGCCATAGGTGGGCAGGGAATGTCCTAATGGCACACTCAGTTGACGGCAGAGTGGGACCAGCCCTCCGTGCTCCCTGTCTTCCCTGCCCCTCAAATCCTTCTGTGGCTGGGATAGAGTACAAGTGGGTCATTCACAGGCTGCCCTTGGGGCCTTCCCAAATGGGTCATTTGTCCTGAAGGAAAGGCCCCTCAGCATGCTGTCCCCACATCCTATCATAAGTGCCTTCACCCCATACCCTCCTCATTAGTCGGCTACTGCCCTTTCTACAATTAAGTCACACTAGGGTGGTCAGTACCACACCCAGGCCGGTCCTATTACCCCTGCTCCTCTTGGGTCAGCTTCCAGTCATTTTTCTGTGACACAGGGCTGCTCTGCCTGGCTCCCTGTGCCGGCTGCGCCCATCAGTCAGTGCACTCGGCCCTTCAGGCCCAGGCCCTGCACAACCTCTTCCTCCTGCTGCCCCTCCTACCGCAGCCTTGCTTGGCCTCCCCTAGCTGCCTCTGCCCCCACCCCCACCCCCCACCCTCCCCACTTCAGCCCAGGGCTGTCTTCTGGTGTATTCTGCCTTCTGGGTCAAGTGCTCCCTGTGGACGTGCCGTCTTACAACCCCCTTCTAAGTCTTCTTGACCTCAGTCCTTGGCAGGGCCCTTCAGCCTTCCAGTCAGCGGACCAGGGCCCAATCCCAAAGCCAGAGTCCCTTGATGTGTCCCCACCTGTACTCCTGCGACCTCATCCCCGGGTCAGGAGGGTGGGGAAAGGGGCGATGACATCAGAACCAGCAGGTTCGCCTACCCCAGCAGGCTCCCTAGGCCCCGGAGCGAAAGAAGTAGGGGCCTGCAGGGGGGTGTTGGCACTGCGCCCGCGCGTCCTCAATTGGAAAGAAAGTCGATAGCGGCGCGCACGGAGCGATTGGTGCTGACGTCGACGGCAGTGACCTTAATCTCGGTGTCGCCAAACTGCATGGCGGCGCGGATCTCGCGGCGGCCAGGGGACGCGCCGGTGGCGTCGGGGCCGCCCTCGGCGGGCTCGAGGTCGAGGCTGAGTGCGCCGCACTTGCGCACGCCCGGGTCGGTGATGAAGCGCGCGTCCTCGGCGGCGCAGCAGTACAGATTGATGAGCACGCGCCGCTGGCCCGGGCGCGCCGGGCAGTAGCTGCGCCGCACCTCCTCGCCCAGGGCCACGGACTGCTCCGCGGCCACGAAGCGGTCAAAGACGTCGGTGCACCAGCGGCGGCCGTCGCGAACCAGCAGCTTGTCGGGCGGGTGGCGGCCAGCCACGAAGCGGTTGAGCACGCCCACGCCGTAGGTGAGCGGCGAGCGGCGCACCCGCACCACGCCCGGCGCCTGCCCGAACAGCACGGCGCCTTTGAGGATGGTGAGGCCCACGTCGTGCGGGACCACCACGCGCAGACCGCGGGCTCCCAGCGCCGTCTGCACCGCGTGCTGCAGCACCGCTGACTCGGCGAAGCCGCCCACCAGGAACAGCAGCTTCACGTCCTGCACCTCGGGCCGCCCCAGCAATGCCTCTGCAGGACCGGGTGGGGGTGGGGGTAAGGAGAAGGAAGCAAGGCGAGGGAGCAGAGAGCCCGAGCCGCTGAGGCCACCACTGCGTGGCCACTGGCACCTTCCGTCCGCCCACCTGTACCCTCCTGGCAGCTAAAAACTAGCCATTTCACTAAAATGGTAGCCTTGTTCTGATGATGAAAAACACTGAGCGCTTTCATTGAGGGCTCCGCCTCCCAACACTCTTCCCCCCGCCCCCCCAACGTGGACGGCATGAGATAAGGATAGGCAGTTACACGTACTAAATGCCTACTGTGTACAAGGCATTGCACTCTCTTTAGATATTTCAGCTCATTTAGATTCCTATCCTAACAGTTTTGGGAACCCATTATCACCTCATTTTATAAATGGGGAAACTGAGGCACGAGAGATTCTTTGATTTGGCGGGACTACACATTGTCCATCTTAGTCTCCACCGCACTAACTCCAGGTGTTCCAGATGATTCTGGGTCTCATTCCAGTGTATGGTTGTGTGGAGGTTTCCAGGCACTAATAGGGGGAATTATTCCCACATCTGGGGATGTATGTGGGGTGAATGGGGGACGCAAGCTCAAGCTCTCACCTATATGCTCAATGATCCCGCTGACCGTGGGCTGAAAGAGCTCGTTCATGGCCTCGCAAGACATCCTGAGCATTCCCTGTGAGGACCACTTCACGACGTTCAGGCTATAGGCGGTGAAAGGGGCACAGGCGCATGGGTCAGGGTCCGGGGTTCTGTCCCAGCTCCAGCCCGATGTGCCTGGGCACCGAATGCACATTGTGTGTTATCCCAACCCCATTCTCTCAGGGGTTCTTTAGTTGTGGGCCCGCTCCAGTTCCAGGCATGAGGTCCCAGCAGAGGAGCCTCCCTGTGGCTCCGGGCGGGGAGGAGACAGATATCGGCCTTACCCTGGGGGCTCAAGATTCTCTCGGCCCAGTTCCGGCTGCGGATTCCAGCTGGGGTACTCATGCCCCTCCCTCTGCCGCCGGGGCTGGCACGATGTGTGTGCCGGGCGGCTCAGGTGGAACCACACTGCCCCCTGGGGCCCACACCCTCCCTTGTAGGGGCGTTCCCCATCCGGAAACTGCCTGAGCCCGCGGTCCCCGGGCGCACCTGCTCCTGCGCAGGGCCGTCTCCACGTTGTGACCTCTCTGCTTGCGATAGAAGTCGATGAAAGAGAAGGGCAGCGAGATGTTTAGCGCCCCCGCACGGTGCGGGCCTGCCGTGCGTTTGCGGGCCTCGAAGGCGATGGTCAGATCTACCCAGGCTGCTGGCCGTTGCCTTTTGAAGGTGGCAATGAAGTCCTCACCGAAGATGCGGCCCAGCAGCTGTTCGAAGGCCAGGTCCACGCCCACTGCGCCGTAGGGGCCGCCTGGAGTGGGGCAGGGAGTGAAGGGGAGTCAGCGCCGACACTGCCGCCAGAGGGCGTTGGCGGAGCCCGGGCGCGCTGGGTACCAAGGGCGCTGCCTGGCTACTCACCAGACGCCTTGTAGAGCTCCTTGAGGGTGCCATGTGGCTGCTCCAGCTGGTGCACAGTCAGGTCCACGGTGCCTCCCCCGCAGTCTGCCACCATGTAGCGGTCTCCTGCAGGGGTGGCCGTAAGGACACATTCGTGGCCTGCCTTGCATCCTCAGCTCTGCGCGCCCTTCAGACTTACCCAGCTTGCAGCCCTGCCCCAGGTCCCGAGCCCTGCTCGCGGAAGGGGGGATGGGGATGGGCCCTAAGGGGCTTAGGTGCTTGAACCTCAGGCCAGAGGGTAGGGGCGCAAGGTGCGTGTGGGAGAAGGTTCCAGGGGGACCTTCTGCAGACAATCCCCGGGAGGAGTGGGAGTTAGGGGCACGGCTGTGAGTGGGGTGGGGGTACAGGGGACTGTGAAGGGACTGCCGGGTTAGGTACAGCCGATGGAGGAAGAAGGGGCGGAGTTTCTAGGGGTTGGAGCCGACTTCGTTAACTTTTCCCTGCCGCCATTTGTATATGGTGCCCCGCAGGGCATCTCCCCTTCCCCCCACCTGCTTGCAGCTCTGCCCACAGCTCTCCGACGCCTGACTCCACCAGGAACGTGCGGCTGTGGCGGGACCTTCGCAGCTGCTCGCGGGCTGGGAGTTGAGGGACAGCGGGACAGTGAGGTTAGAAGGAGGGGTCTCGGCTTCCACATTCAACCCCCATCCTCCCGCCAGCGCTCGCCGGAGACTCCTGCTCCACTCCTAACTGGGAGAGAGCAGTACTGAACCCCAAAGAGTCTAGAGAACCCGACGGGTTAATCGCAGGCGCTGTAGCCAACAGCTGAGGGGAGTATTTCTGGCCCCAGGGCCTTCCCTTAACGCAGGAGGGCTCAGGCCATGGCAAAATCAGGGTTAGGTGGGTTCAGAGGAGCTGTGTGTGTGTGTAGCGGGGGAGGTCTTGGGAGTTCAGGACTTGGGTCCTCTCCCTGTCATGGGAAATGGCATCTGGGAGGGTGACCAAGGTTGACCATAGCTGTCTCAGTGCATGGTCCTGACAGCAGGAGCTTGGGGCTGATGGCGGGGAGGACAGCTGATGTGCCAGGAGGGGAGCAGCAGCTGATTCAGTGTCTGTTTACGGGAAAGCTCCCGAAGACCCCTCCCTCAGCTCAGAGTGGGGACCAACTTCCTCCCAGTCCTCCTTTGTCAGTACCAGAGCACGTCCCCCCAGGGGAGGCTCTCCCCCCACCTCAGACTCAGGGCTGGGCTGAGCCCTACCCACCTCAGACAGTGTTTCCCTAGGGCAAGGTGAGATCTCCACCCTCAGACTGGGCTCCCCAGGGTGAGGGCTGTGCCTCCTCCCTCAGACTGAACTCCACCAGGGATGCTTCTCCCTCCTCAGACTGGGCTCCTCCTGGGTGAGGGGGCCTCCCCTTCATGCTGGACATGGCTGAGCTTCTGGCCTCAGGGACCCTCTGACCCTACAAGGGCAGCT